GGGGGTGCCACCAAGGGCTCCCGGCTTCTCGTTTTTTTCTCCGCCTGCGTCCTGAGCAGCTGTGGGAATGTGCTGCCACCTGGTGGTCGCTGCTGAGCATAGCGCCCCAGCCCAGGCTCCGGAATAAGCCTTTCAGGCCCTTGAAGCTGGTGCCGGGCAGCCTCTACCCGGCTAAGACTCTTGTAGCTTGAACCATCTCCTTGCTTCCTGGGTGCCTACAACCTGGAAAAAGTTTAGAGTTAACTGAACCCTTCTCTGGACTCTCCATTAGGGCCCGGAGGCCTTCTAACCCGTGTGGTGTCAGTGGGCGTCTGGCCGGTAGGGCGTTTAACCAAGGAGTTCCCCTTTGCTGAGCAGGATTTCCTGTGGCTCCGAGTGAAGGAACCTTGAACTCTCCCTTCCCCCCTTGCACTGGTTCTGAGTGAGTCTCCTGAACTCAGACTTTGGCCTCAGGAGTCCCTGGCTCCTTGGCCAAACCCATGTGGCTTGAGTCACCGAGTCACCGGGGCCCTAGTAGGAAGCCCCCTGGGGACAGTGGCTCCAGATCAGCCCCTGGAGGAAGGCTTCTGGAGGGCCCAGCTTCCTCCTTGGGGGCTGACTGAGAGCAGGGAAAGGAGGGGCGCCGGGAGAGGACACCGTCTTGGCCATCTTGTTCTTTCTAAGCCTCTGCTGCTGCCTAGCAAGCATGAAGCTCTGTAAACATATAATAAGGTTTTGGGGAAGTGGTGATGGGGCCCAGAGGAGCCGAACAAGCTGATTTTGTGCAACTGCACAGGCAGTGGTGGAGGCAGTCTGAGCCAGCCCCAGGCAGAAGCCACCACCTCCCCCCTGCCCAACATCCTGTCTCAGCAGCTGCCTGGTCCCGTTCTAAGTCTCCAAAGGTTCCCCCGCCCCCGGGGCTCCTGCCCACATAACATCTTGCTGTCGGTGCAGGGTGGTTGCTGGAGATTTTCGGGCTTGTCTGAGAAGCTGCAGAGGAGCAGCTGAATGGCTCTCCGGCCAGCCTGTCACGACATCAAGCAGAACCCCAAGGGAAAGGTTGCCCCCCTGTGGCTGAGCTGTGCCCAGGGGTGTCAGGCCAGGGATTGGGATAGGTGAGGCCTCCTCCCCCCGGGACTCCAGATGCTTTTCCTGTGGTTCAGCTTGACGGATCCTCCCTGGTCCTTGCCTCCTCTGTGGAGTTCAGGTTCTTTTAGTAAAACTGAAACAGACACAACCCTTCTTTTAGACGGGGAAATCCCCTGAGCCACGTCTCCCTTATAATTTATTTTATTATTGAAAAAATAGTTTTAGCACTCTGGTCCAGTGAAAGATTTTCTTTCTGTCCCAGAGCTCCCCTTGGGGCACCACCAGGTGGCCTGCTGGTTTCTCCACCTCTTTGTAATTCAGAGCAGGTGCCACACCTACACGGTCCTTGCGCTCTCTTCCACGGTCCTGGTCACCACTTCCTTTTCCAGGTGGGGGGTTAGGACGTCCAATTGATAATATGGCAACATCAAGTCCAGGGGCGCCTTGTAATTGTGAAAGCTGCCCATGGTTGTTCACTTGCCCGTTCATTTACTGAAGCCAGGAGCCTGGGATTGAATGCGGGCTCCGCCACTTCCTAGCTGTACCACTCGGGGCAAGTTACGCCACCTCTCTGAGCCTTAGTTTGCTCCGCAGTGATTATAGTATCTATTTCATCATAGAACGTTGAATAAGACGATGAAAGTAAAATGCTCAGCACTCTAGATGGTATAAAGGAACGTACTTAACAGGTCCCAGCTGTTAACACCCAGTGGTGTTCTATACGCAGTGCCAAGCTGATGCCCTCTGGGTCACTGACGTGCTTTCCTATTCATTCATTTAGCAAAAATATACTTGAGCACCGCCATCTGCCAGGCATTGTGGTGGGGCTAGAAATGGAAAGTGGAGGTCCCTACGTTTCGGGAGCTTGTGAGATAACAAGGGAGGGGGGCTTATAAACCCAGCACGGGGAGGGGATGTGTGGGAAGTTCTCTTCGGGGTCCTGTTTGAGAACAGGCTTGAAGGAAAAGCGCTTGTGTTTTAGGTGGGCACGGGGAGAAGGGCTTTCTGAGCCGGGTGCACAGGGGAAAGGAAGCAGAAGCATAATGGTGTTTGCGGTTTCAGGGAGGAGGGGGAGATCCAGGCACCAGGAGGCTGCAGAAGCTGGGAGACCCCCACCTCGAACGGTCTCATATGCCATTCCAGGGAGGCTGGACTTGATCCTGAGGGCTACACGGAGGCCGTGAGGGCACTTGCATTGGGAATGGCTCGGGGGGGCTGAGGTGGTCTCTCTGTGAGAGATGAGGGAAGTTACCCAAGAGCAGCTGTGGCATGTGTTTCTCGGGGGGGGGGGCGGGTGGGTAAGCAAGATGACCATCTGCCCTGGCCTCTCTGTCTCCTTTTCCAGGCTGTCTTCTGGTGCTCCATCTGGAGGGAAAAGTTGGCTCAGGGCCCAATCCTAGGCCAAAATGCTAACTGTGGAAACCTCTCTCCTCACCCCTCCAATCGCTTCCCTGAGCAGAGATGGGCTCAGGCCTGCCTTGTTCACGGAGAGGAAATTTCCAGAGAATTCCCAGGTGGGAAGAGGTGAGTAGGTCCGGTGTCGCAAGTGTGGCCCTTGCCTCTTCTTTTCCCCCTGGATTATTTTCTCACATGCTATCCTGCGCCCACCACACTGTTCTTGTCACCGGTGCTGGGTCATAAAGCCCTCTCCTTGGTGTCTCTAACCCAGCCCAGATGGGCTGGTTCCAAAAGGACTCACCTGTGTCCTAAAGGAGGACGAAAGGGGTAAGAATCTGCGAGCACACCAGTCAGGTCTCTAGCTCCAGCTGTCCAGTCGTTGCCCAATGCCTCGGTCCACTTCCTGTGGCTGGATCCACGGCTCAGGCTCTTTCCTGGCCTCAGCCACCTTACCTCTCTCCCAGCTTCTGTCCCATGACCACACAGAGGCCCCCATCTCTCTCTTTAAGTGCGGGAACTGCCCGTCGTCTGACCAGCTCTCAAATGCAGAGCAAGGCTGTGAGGCAGACCTGGGGGGCAGGTAGCCCTCCCCTAGCCCTTCCTAGGGGCAGCCAAGCCCCTAAGGAAACCACTCCATTGCTGTCCATTCGCCTCAACTGGGCAACATGACTCGTCCCTACACCAGACAGTCTCTCTCTCACATAGGGCTGTTTGGGTGCTACCTGGTGGCAAGGCGCCAGCGGGGAGGGTACTTTTTTTTTTTTTTTTTTTACAGTGGGTCACCAAGATTCAACGGTTGCTTTAGGGTGACTTCTTTTGGTAGCACGCAGCCTCCTAGAAATGGCTCTCTGTGACTTCCTTCTCCAAAGCAGAGATAAAGAAAGCAGCTGTAGTAGAAACTTTATGAGAAGCCACGCTAAAGGCTGACAAAACTTCTCAAGCTCCCAGGGCTCAGGGATGTGGGCATAAGTAACACTGGAAAACGCTGGGGTGGCGGAGATGCAGTTGGGGAGCGCTGCCCCTTCATATCTTGGGAGGGGGTGGTTTCGCCCAGGAAGAAGTGGCAAGTATAGAAGGCATGAGCGAGGGATTCAGCTTGGGCCAACTGGGGATGAGGGTGGGGGAGCAGAGGGTGACGTAGAAGTGGCAGCCCGAGGCATCTCACCAGGGCCCTGGCGAGGATGTGAACAGCACTGTTGATAGCGCTGAATGTTAGTTTTGGCTATACGTAGGTTGGTGTTTAAGGCAAATATTATAAACCCTTCAATCCACGGTGCAGGCTCAGGTCCACCCACCCCTTCCTCTAAATCACCCCTTTGGGCAGGACTGAGACGCATCTGAACTCCATGGACCTTAAATCACAATTGCTTGTAAGTGTCTGGTTTCCAGAAGTTACAGACTAGGTGAGCAACTTCCAGGAAAGCAGTGTGGTTCCTCTTTCCCTGCGGGCGGGGGTGGGAGGGTATGCCATGTGATGATGTGCATCTGTGGCCCTTTCACTCCTTTCTGCTGGGCCGGTCATCCTGTTGTCCTGTTGTTCCTCAAAGGGGTTTGTCACTGGCTGGTTGCGGGGGCGAGGGCATGTGAGACCTCCGGTGGGTGTGCGGGGCCGACGAGGGGAAATGTCGAGTCAGCAGATGTGCTTATGGGAGGTGCTGTGTTTTTTGCCCTTCTAAGCAGGGGATCTTAGCTTGTTCCTTTGGCAAAGGATCTTTGAGGCAAAAGCTGGGTCCCAGCTATGCCTGGCCAGGAGTCAACTCATGCCACTCAATTCTCAGGGCTTGCTGCTTTGCACTGTATTAGTCTGTTCAGGCTACTGTAACAGAATACCAAAGACTGGGTGGCTTATAAGTCACAGAAATTCTCAGCTCTGGAGGCTGGGAAGCCCATGATCAAGGTGCCAGCAGATTTGGAGTCTGGCGAGAGCCAGCTCCTTGGTTCATGAATGGCAGAAAGGGTGAAGGAGCTCTGTGGGGTGTCTCTTATAAGACACTAATCCCATGCATGATGGCTCCATCCTCATGACCCAGGCATCTCCCAAAGACCCCACCTCTTAATACTGTCACTTTGAGGCTCAGATCTCAACCTATAAATTTTTTTTGGTTGCGGGGGGGAGACACAAACATTCAATCTGTAGCATGTGCTAAGAAACCGTAAATTCTGGCTAAGGCTGCCACCAAAATCTAGTTCTTGTTCCCCTGTGGCTCCCATTTGCCTCCTTGTCATGGGATCTTTCTGCTAAGGTAGCAGAAAGCCAGAATATTTGAGTCCGTGCTTTTACTGCTCTCCCACGCAGCGCTACACTCCCATCCAGTCCCCGAGTGAATGAATTCTGAGCCTTCTCCATGCCGCTCACACCCCTCCCTTGCTCTTTCCATCTTCTTTCCGAGCATTCTGGTCTTTGCTTCCTCTTGACCCATCTCACTTCCTGAAACACCCCTGAAGAGGGTTGCTTATCTGGATGGAGCTCGAGTGGCCCTCTGGGTGCAGGAGGCAGAGGCCTTGAGCGTGTCTGTCTGGGGAACTAAGAGAAGCGACACTTTCAGATTCAACCCACATAGAACTGTCCTTCACGCTTCTGGGACCCCAGGGATGTGTGGCCCGCAAAGGGGCGGAAAGTGATTGCCCCTGGATGGGCTCTCTCTAAGAAAAGCCGGGGTCTCCAAGGGAGTGTCCCACCAGAGAAGAGAAGGAATGAGTGAGTCATGAATTTCAGACTGTTGCTGCTGCACTTGGACCTCTAGCGAGATGCCTGGCAAGAGGTAGGCTCCCTGGGCCACGTGGATCCTGTCAGCATGCTTGGGGAGAGCAAGATGGCTGCCAATAGCACTGCCCTGTTGTTGGCCACGGGTACCTACATCACCGTGGAGATTGCCATCGGGCTCTGTGCCATAGTGGGCAACGTGCTGGTCATCTGGGTGGTCAAGCTGAACCCCAGCCTGCAGACCACCACCTTCTATTTCATTGTCTCCCTGGCCCTGGCTGACATCGCCGTTGGGGTGCTCGTCATGCCTTTGGCCATTGTCATCAGCCTGGGCATCACCATCCGCTTTTATAACTGCCTTTTCATGACCTGCCTGCTGCTGATCTTCACTCATGCTTCCATCATGTCCCTGCTGGCCATTGCTGTGGACCGATACCTGCGAGTCAAACTTACAGTCAGGTAAAAGGGAGCAGAGTGGGGCAGTGAAGGAGGTGCCTGGGACATGGGGCTTCTTCCCTGAAAACACATCCAGTCTGGCCTCTGATCTTGAAAGAGGGCACTAAGTTTCTTTGCACCATTTGGTGTGTGAGGGAGTTAACAATGCTGAGCTGGGACTGGGGAAGAGCTAAAGAGGATGAAAGCTTGATGCATCTTTATTTACTATTTTTTTTTTATTAGCATCTCTAGCTTGATGCATCTTTAATTAGTAAAAAAATGTTCTTGAGTTTTAGAAATGATAAGAGACCTACTAGATAACATAAGGAGCAGACAGAGAAGAATAGGAGGAGATAAATAAATGGGTGGTTCTGTTATTTGCAGAAGTAGGTCATTTTAAAGTTATTTTAACTTTGCTTCCTCTTCCAAGTTGAGGAGGGGACCAAAAAAAGTTCTCCATTGCCGAAAGTAGTAGCAACCTTTCATGTGATGAGACCAGAACAGAACAGACCGTCAAATGGAGACATCTCATTCCCCAGGTGTCCTGAATGGCAATCGGCTTGCTCTCCTCCTCTCTGGTCTTAGGGAAGAGACATGGGGAGGGAGCTGCAAACAAGCTTTTGATACTAAAAAGCCCAGGCTCAAAGGCCAGATCTTGAGATCTGAGCTGGGGCAAGTGACTTCTGCTGCTTTGGTTCCTCGTCTTTCCACAGCAGTTAAGATACTCTGAACTCGGACTCACTTGTTTCCATTTTACCTCTGCCACTTCTAGCTTGTCCGGGTTACCTGCCTCTGTTTCTTTTTTTCTTTTTTTTTTTTTTTTCACCTATAAAGTGGGGACAGTAATTGCCACTTCCTCATAAAATTACATGGGTCACCACATATCAGGCTCTTAGAAAAATGCCTGTGTGCGGTCTTTGCTCACTCAGTGGTCGCCGTAACTACTGTTATCCTCCCTCACCCAGTCACCAGGAAGGGAATGGAGATTGTCGTAAAACTAGCTTCAGTTTGTTGTGAGATGTAACTGAGATACAGTCTCCCGAGGACACAGTCAGTACGTAACAAAATCAGTGTCCTTCTTGTAGTCCGTGTGGGTGTTGTCAGGAAGGACGGTGGAAGGAGGAATGGTGCCTCTCGTTGGACGAGTTGTTTGAGGTCCTGGAAACACTTCAGCATGACCTCCACACCTCCATACAGCCCTGTGACTCGAACACCAAGTGTGGCCGCCAGAGCAAATAGAGAAGCAGGGGCGGGCACAGGTGGAGTGCAGGGTGGGAGAGGCAGAGTCGAACTCATGGCCTTCGGCCCCGCAGCCGAACAAAACAAGATCATCTTGGGTAGGCAATCCCAAGAGACGTAGAAAACTCTTACCTTCCACGAATCAAAGAATTCTCAGGCTGGAAATGGAGCTGTGAGAGCGGCAACATATGTCTAACCCATTCTACATCGTATTTCTTTTAAAAAGTCCCCCAGAGAAGTTTGCTAGAATGCCCGCTCTCTCCATCCCCATCGCCCCCGCTCCTTCCTTTAGCAATTCCTAAATGAACTCACCCATTCTCTTCCATTCAAACAGATACAGGAGGATCACCACTCAAAGAAGAATATGGTTGGCCCTGGGCCTTTGCTGGCTGGTGTCGTTCCTGGTGGGACTGACGCCCATGTTTGGCTGGAACATGAAACTGACCTCAGAGTACTACAGAAATGTCACCTTCGTTTCCTGCCAGTTCCGTTCTGTCATGAGGCTGGACTACATGGTCTACTTCAGCTTCTTCACTTGGATTTTAATCCCCCTGATTGTCATGTGCGCCATCTATCTTGACATATTCTACATCATCCGGAACAAACTCAATCAGAAATTTTCGAGCTCCAAAGAAACAGGTGCATTTTACGGACGGGAGTTCAAGACGGCCAAGTCTCTGTTTCTGGTTCTCTTCCTGTTTGCTTTGTCCTGGCTGCCTTTGTCCATCGTCAACTGTATCACCTACTTTCATGGTGAGGTGTCACAAATTTTTCTGTACTTGGGCATTCTGCTCTCCCATGCTAACTCCATGATGAACCCTATTGTCTATGCTTATAAAATAAAGAAGTTCAAGGAGACCTATCTTTTCATCCTCAAAACCTGTATGATCTGCCAGTCCTCTGATTCCTTGGACCCAAGCACAGATCAGACTTCTGAGTAGTTATCTGGGAAAGATGACACTTCACCCCACTGACCTTCGGATTCAGCATCAGTAAACACTTGAGGACCTGTCCACCTGAGCCAGGGGCTTTCATGTCCTTAATTTCTTCTACTGAGGTGGGGAACATTTGACTGGCTGCCTCCACTCGTACCTCCCCTAAAGCCCCTTCCTATAATCTAATTGTTTTCTTGTCTTTCTTCTCTGATTCAATGTTCTGGTTGCCTGACTCGAGGAGAATGTCCTACTATTCCTACTGCCTGTGTTCCTCCTCCCCAAACAGGAGGAGGAGTCAGTCTGAAGGATGCCTCATTGACTTCACTGATGCAAGGTCCCAATCCCGCTGGACATGGATGTGGTGGTGACTCAGTTCCACTCCATTGTGGAACCACACCGGCACACGCCGGGGAGATAGCAGGAACAGAGTGTCACAAAGGGGAACTGAAACTGCTGAGTTCACCTGTAATTGTATTTGAGTAAATAAAAGATGACCGCTAACTGTCGTGTAGCTCTTTCTGAGGGTCAGGGTCACTTGGAGCTCACAGACCCAGCTGGCTGCTCTTGGCACTCAGGCTGCTTGCCACTGGGAACCACGCCATGTTCACCTGTTTGAACTCTGGGCCCCTCACCCCTTGCCCTAGAACACCCCGCTCCTTTATCCTGGGCTAATCGGAGCATTTGCCAACTTGATGAGCCGTTCGTCAATTGTTAGAGAAGGATCAAAAGAGGCAGAAAAGAGACACAGGATAGCTATTATTTGTGGAGTGCTTTCTATGTGCTAAGCACTTTCCATACATGAGCTCTTTGGATCCTGACAATCTCCGAGGTAGGTGCCACCATTATTGTTCCGTCCATTATGCAGAAGGAAAACAGAGGCACAGAGAGGTTAAGTAACTTGTCTATAGTCACACAGTTAATAAGTAGTGTAAAGCCAGGATTTAAACTCAGCCCTGCCTTTTGGGAGAACCCAAGCTCCTCACCACCTATCCTCAGACACAAAGAGGGACTTGTAACTTCTCCAAAGTTCAAACTCTCAAGTTCACCTAAAGGACAATTAGCAGATGCATGGATAAACACAATGGTTTGTATGCTGGGAGGACTGCTGGATTTTTGGAGGCGGGGAGGGGGGGGGTTTGCCTTAGGTACTATCACTGATGTCTCATTAATCCTGACACCAGGCGGGGACAGAGTCCCAGTCACCTCCTTCTCATGTTGTGTGTGGCTCTGGAGATTCAAGAGGACATCTCTGGTTTGGTGTCTCCAAATTTGCAGCTGTGGACTCTCCCTAAACAATGAATATATGAGCCCGATGAGAGCAGCAAGATGGGGCTTTCGATTAAACCACTTCAAAGAGAATAAGTGTACTTAAGATTTTTTTTTAAATTAATTCTTAGCCGGTTCTGAAAGTTTATCCTGACGGCAATCTTAGGCCAGAGCCCGATAACCATATCTATCTAGTTAACATTTCATCTCGGTAAAGGTCCTCACTTCTCGAGAATCCCTGTCACCCCAGGAAGAATGAACACTGTCTGGAAAGTTTAAAGACTACATCTACTTTGCTACTAATGCCAAACTGAGTGGGTTGCCAACCCACCCACTTCCCTGCGCAGCTCACAATCGTATCTTAAAGGCGAATGACTCGGACCTGCCTCCACTGTCCTTGGAAGTGTGGGAGGTTCCCTTCATCTCGTCACTCTCCCCTTCAACATTTGGGGATCTTTCTTCTCTAAAAATCCCAGCGCTGCCCCCCAAACCACAATTTTTTCCCTTCATGGCATCCCCTTGTTTGATTTAGGGCTTTCCCCCCAACCATGAATTAATTTTTGTGCTTTGTTAAAATGCCCCTCAGGACGATGCCCTGGGTTTACTGTGGGGCTTCTGGTGACCCTGGTGCATGCTTCTGCCCAGAAGCTACCTTTGCCCAGTTGGACCCTTGAGGGAAGTGCTAGTTAGTTTTCAGTCCCAAACAGAGGCATTTCTTAGTTTTCAAACAATCTCAAGTGGTTGTTGTAGCAACACTTAGCACCTGCTCTTTGGGGAAACTTGCGTTAAAGGGACCACTTCTCAAAACAAAGCAGCAGTCTGTCCGGTGTCATTTGGTGTCATAAGATGAGCTGTAGTCTCTCAGTCTCAGAAAAAAACTTTTTTTCCCTCTCTTCTCCTTTTCTCCTCATCTTTCCCCTTCTCTCTCTCTTTCTTTCTGAAGACCACTGCTTAGCAAACCCACTGAGGGTTTGCAGGGAGTCGTATTTGTTTTTTTTTAATATTTTATTTTGTTTCGGTCAAATGGGAACATCCTGGGCTAAGATGTTCCACAGGCCCGGAAGAAGCCCTTAAAGTGAGAATACCTTTCGGAGTGGACTCAGAAAAGATGAACTAAGAATCACTGGTGAGGAGCAGCGGTAGAAGTGGCGAGCTCCACCCTGCTTTCGGGTTCAGAGATTAGCATTGCTGGAGCCTCCTTGAGCCCGTCTCCTGGCTCATTCCCTTCAGCTGGACAGCTGAGGGTGGCTGTCGGTTTTTTGTTCTCAAGGAATAACGTAAAAAGACTACGCAGACAATACTGACGTTCGCTTCCTCCTTCTCCCTATGAATTCGCTGGAACGAAAGTAGATGTTGAGTAGCTGGGTTTATATACCTAATTTTTTTTTTAATCAAGTCAACTGTGGGTAAATGAAGACCAAGTGAGAACAAGCAAAGGCCACCCCCAAGCTTGCAATAGCAAGAGAGTCAGTCACTGCCACTCGTATTTTGGCAGAGACTAAAGGGGGCCGTGGAGTGGGCCAGCTCTCTGGTAGTAACAGGGAGGCTTCGCTGCGCCCTGGCTGGAGGCTGGTGGCCTGGGGAAGCTGTGGGCGGGCTCACACAAGTGGGGCAGCCCGTGTGATTGGTTAGGAAAGCATATTCGGCTTTCTCTGGTTGGCCCCAAGGTGGAAGCCGGACAAAAATTTGGGGAGCGGTCAGTTTTTACTACCTACTTTGGGTTGATTGTCACAGGGATTATTGTTTGGCGTTCTGGACTTTTGCTAGAGACCAGGGTCTGATGTCCTACAAATCTGACCTCTAGCAGGTTGGCTTCCCTGGCCAGTTACTGGAGATAAGATGCTGGTTTCCTGGGCCAGAAGTTCTGTCCAGAGGTCTATTTTTATAGATGGTCTGGCCATTGTCCATGGGTACATTCAGTTTTTTACAACCAGATGCACATTTTCTAGAGACACTCTGCCCTTAGAGGCCATAGTGGGTATGCTGGGGATGGGGAAACAGCTGTCTATTGCCCCGACCGCTCAGACGACATGGTGTATGTCACGTCCCCTTGTGAAGTCTAATGTCTCTATGCTTTCGCCGTGTCATTACTACTGTAGAAGGAAGAGTACTATTGTGGAAGATTTAGCATCAGCTCATCGTGCAGTACTAGATGTGTGAACTCGGGCAATTTCCTAAAACGGAACCTCCTCATACCTGAGTTTCGTTTTGTTTTTTGTTTTTTACTATTTATGATGGAAAACTTCAGGCACACCAAAGTGAAGAGGCCAGAATAATGACCCCTCAGATATCTGTTATCCTGCTTTAGTAATGATCAACTTACAGCCAATGTTGTTCCATTAATGTCCCTACCCACCCGCCCCACCCTGATTATCTTGAAATTTTGGACATCAAATTATTTCATCTGCAAACATTTTGGTTTTTTTTATGAAAGGTATTTTTTAAATGATCAATTGGCTTATTGTTATTACCCACTCATCTTCTTAAGTTGTACATCTAAGGAGTGAAAATTAATTCTACCCTGATGAGGCAGCAGCAGAACTAAGAGCACCAACAAATACTCAGAATGCTAGTAGACACATGGTTCGTTCTCTGTAAGTCTGGGCCTCTCATTTGCTTTAGAATGTTACCTTTTCATGTCTTGGGCACTTTACTGATATCTGTACCCAATCCATTTCTCCTTTGGCTGCTACTTTCTTTGGTTTCACGGCACTATCTCTGAGCCATTCCCAGTGTCTGTTTGGAGGTAGCTTTCTCAGAGATAAGAACTGATTTTTAAAAATACAACCACAATATCTATATGAATTATAAATTGTTACATAAATTTTATTGATTTTTCTTTTTTAAAAAAAGATTTTATTTACTATTTGAGAGAGAGAGAGCAAGCGAGGGGAGGGAGAGGGACAAGTAGACTTCGCACTGAGCACTGAGCCCAATGCAGGGCTCAATCCCAGCACCCCGAGACCATGACCTGAGCCAAAATCAAGAGTTGGGTGCCCAACCGACTGAGCCACCCAGGCGCCCCAGGATTTATTGATTTTTTTGATCACACAGGCCAGCCCAAATTCAGTTTTGAAAGGGATTGCACAATAGCATGAATGCCAGGAGCCATCTTTGAGGCTGGTTATTTTTATTGATTTTACAATTTTTTTAAAAAAAGGAACTCATAATTCCACCAGTCTTTTAAAAAGGATTTTATTTGGGGCACCTGGGTGGCTCAGTCGTTAAGCGTCTGCCTTCGGCTCAGGTCATGATCCCAGGGTCCAGGGATCGGGCCCTGCATCGGGCTCCTTGCTCAGCAGGAAGCCTGCTTCTCCCTCTCCCACTCCCCCTGCTTGTGTTCCCTCTCTCGCTGTGTCTCTCTCTGTCAAATAAATAAATAAAATCTTTAAAAAAAATAAAAAAGACTTTATTTATTTATTTTAGAGGGAGAGAGCACGAGCGGGAGGCAGGGAGAGGGAGGGGGAAAGAATCTCAAGCAGACGCCGCACTGAGTGTGGAGCCCCACGCGGGGCTCCATCTCACGACCCTGAGATCATGACCTGAGCCGCAACCAAGAGTCCGACGCTCAACCGACTGTGCCACCCAGGCGCCCCTCAGACAGAAACTGGTTCTCGACAATGTCATTATCACATCTGAAAAAAACTTAATAATTTCTTAACATCATTGACTATCTCGTCACTGTCTAGACCTTTGGGCAGGATCCAAATAAATTCCATATGTTGCAATTTGTCATTATTTCTCCTAAGCCCCTTTTAATGGATAGATTCCTCCTTCCTTCTTCCCTTCCCCTCCCCCACTTTTTCTCCACCTTGCGATTTATTTGTTGAACTCACAGAGGTTTGATGAGGAGTCAATGTGGCACAGGTAGAACAGGCGCGGGAAGCAGGCCCGCTGCTGGCCCAAATGCTGACCGCGTGGGAATGAGACAGGCCCCCTCCCCCACAAGAGGATATTGCTGAACAACCTGGACACTCATCCACGTCTGGCCCTTGATGGGGAGGGCTCACTCTGGGGGGTGATAAGTAGTGTTCAGCCTAGATTCACCGGAGGGGTGCTTCTGTAATTCAGACTTTCAAAATCAGCTGTTAGGCCACGAGTCCCAGTAGGAACCAAGAGAAGCTTCTCTCGATGCACAGACAAATCTCCTTGATTTGTCCCAGCTCTGCCCCTGGAAGCTCTCAAGAGGTCTGGGCGCAGCAGCCCTGGCTGCTGACACCCAAACACCCACATGTACAACACTCATGCTCCAGATGCCGGGCGCATCTGCTCCTAACAGCTTCATGCTTCACCCCTGACTCCATTCCCCGGGGGAGGCTTCAGTGTCCACTTGGGAGTCGGGGAAGTTAGCACTCTCACCTGGCCCATTGGCAGGACAGGCTCAGTTGCACACCTGGATATGTGCCAGCGCTGGTGTGTGTGCTTGTGCTCTTCCAAGTGGGTACAAGGCTTTGTTGCACCAGGGTGCATTTATCCAAGGGGGGAATCTCCATTGCTGTTTTGGGAGTGCCAGGAAGCTCACAGTTTTTTCAGTTGCCTATATTATTATATAAATAAGTTTATTTCCACAAATGGCATCCCTCTGATGAGGTACGCTTGTGCAGTGCACAACCTGGATAGCTATACATAGCAGCACTGCTTGGATTGACTGGTTCTTCCCTTTGCCCTGGTCTCTTCAAACAGGTTAAAACCAGCTGAAGCTCAAAGATCTCGGTTTCCCTTAAACAGATCCAGGGTTCCTGGGACCCCTGGGCATGGTTTGTCTTTCCGGTTGAAGGTTGTTCACTTCCTTCCAGTCATGGGGTCCTTCATTCTGCTCTTCTTGACTGTCTTTTCAGGTAAGACATGGGGAAGGAACATCTCCAGCCTCCAAACTTCCCAAACACCTTGCATTTCCTTGCATTTCCTTCTCCTCTCCTACTTGCAATGCCGGTTCTGTCGCTCAAACCACTGCAGGAGTGGGATAGGAAAATAAACGGAGGAGATAAGAGATCCTTTCCAAACTCATCCTAATTCTTAGCTCTGATAAGAGGGTAATGAGGGGAGAAAAAAATGTTTAAAAAGAGGGTTGTGAGGAATTTGAAAGCCTCAGCTAAGACGTAGGCTCTGGACTCTCTCAGCATAAGCTCTCCTCCCCTCCCCATTCTCCCCCAAAAGGGTTTGTGCAGATGGACAAGGCCAGGACTTTCTGCTGTCTCCCTGTGCCACAGCCCAGAGATGAGACCCCGGGGACTGGCCTGGGGAAATTGACAGCTGCTGTGTCTCTCCCTGGGTCAGCGCCCAGGCCTCTAGACTGAGCATCACCCTGTCTTCCTTGTGGGGTTGTTAGGAGAACAAAATATGAAGTCGTATCAATTCATAATGGGGAGCGCAAGCCTGCTGTGCAGGCTGGTCCTAGGCAGCATTTGCCGGGACATAGCCCACCTCTGGAAAGCTGAGGGACAGGGGGGTCCCTGCTGCACCCCTCTCTGCTCCTTGTTCAGATACTTCCGCAGCCACAGTCAAGGGGGACGTGGTGTGCATGACTTCCTCACTACGCAATATCCTGAGATGATGGAGCTGCCCCTGAAGGCCTTGTATGGAGGAAATGGAAAGTTCTTAGCTCCTAAGAGCAGAACCTGACTCCCTCTGTTCTCAGCCCTGTGCAGCCAGCAGAAGCCTCCAAACCTTCTCACCTTTTGAAGGGGCCTCAGTGGAGTAGGGGGTAGGGGCAGAGGATCTGCTTACAGTTAAGCCTCGGACTCTTCAAGCCCCCTGCCAAGCAGTGGTGGGAGGCCACCTATATTCGTGCAGAGGGGGATCCCTCGGGCCAGGGCACAAGACTTGTCCAGGGTTGTGGTAGTAGCTGGTTAGGCCTGCTGGAACCAACACCACAGACTGGCTGGCTTGAATGACAGAGATTTATTTCTTCACATTTCTGGAGGCTGGAAGTCCAAGAACGCGGTGTGGGCAGGTTTGGTTTCTGTTGAGGCCTCTCTGCATGGCTTTCTTGCTGTGTCCTCACATGACTGTCCCTCGGCCTGTCATCTGATCTTAAGCTCCTTTTTCATAAGGACACCAGTCTGGTGGCATTAGGCCCTTTCTAATGACCCCATTGTAACTTAATTACCTCTTTAAAGGCTCAATCCCCAAATACAGTCACATTCTGAGGTACTGGAAGCTAATACCTCAACATATGAATTTTAGGGGGACCCTATGTGGCCCCTAATAGTGGCTAAACCAAAATAGGCAAAATAAAAAAACTCAGCTTCCTGTGCTTTAACTGATTTTTCTGGAGGATGGCAGGACCTGCGACGCGTTTAAAGGAACGATGGTGTGTGTGTGTGTGTACACGTGGACGCGTGCCCATGTGTGTTTTGACAGATGCCATGGTCATGGACGAAAAGGTCAAGGAAAGTTCTGTGCTGGACATGGCTTCCGCTACCTGCAGCTACAATACCCACTATAAGGACCACCCCAAATACTGGTGCCAAGGCTACTTCCGGGACTACTGTACCATCATTGCCTTCACACCCAACAGTACTGACCGCGTGGCCCTGAGGGACACAGGAAGCCAGCTCATCATCACTGTGTCCTGCCTGACCAAGGAGGATGCGGGCTGGTACTGGTGCGGCATCCAGCAGGACTTTGCCAGGGACGACATGGATTCTACAGAGCTGGTTGTGACTGACAACAGAGGAGGCCTCACCAGTGATTTTTGGTTTGGGAAAAGTAAGGAGTCTGTCAGGGGTCCAGTCAGGGGTAACCCACACAGTCGTTCATATTCATCGGTGTGGTAAATACTCACTGAGACTGGGGAGCACCACATCAGGCTCCCCCTAGGTTCTTTGGGGTAACCTGGTCACTCCTTCCCTTCAAAGTAGGGTGTTGCTGATGGCTGGGGACTAACTTGGAATTCGGGGAAGAGGAGGGTGTATGGGCTCCAGGGTACTCTTGGAACCTTCCTTCCCTCACAGCAATCTGGCTCATGGGATTTGGAAGAGGCTCATGGCGGCTAACAGGTGCGAGGGCTTTGTGTTGCTGGCCAGGAAAGGCTCTGAGGTTGTTATCACCTGTCTGTGCTCCGTAGCCAGGCTTGTAGGTCTAGAATCTTGAAGATCCATTTCTTTTTTTTTTTTTTTTAAAGATTTTATTTATTTATTTGAGAGAGAGAGAATGCGAGATAGAGCGCACGAGAGGGAAGAGGGTCAGAGGGAGAAGCAGACTCCCTGCCGAGCAGGGAGCCCGATGCGGGACTCGATCCCGGGACTCCAGGATCATGACCTGAGCCGAAGGCAGTCGCTTAACCAACTGAGCCACCCAGGCGCCCTTGAAGATCCATTTCTTGAGAGGTGAGTGAGGCTATAAAAAATGACCCAGGTGCCTGGATGAGCACCCTCAGAAACGGGGGTGAAGATCATGGCAAAACGGGTCAGGAGTGCAGTTTACACCTGGAGGCTGCTGGGTGGGTGTAGGTTGGACTGGAGGCTGTAGGGGGAGGTCTATCTAAGCCAGTCAATTGCTCTTTTGGGCCAGGGCTGAGTTCTCCAGATGCTCACCAAAATTCTGCCAAATGCTCAAAACCTCTTTTTACATCAGAAAGCTTCTGTCTCAGGCAAAGAGCTTATGGAAAGCACTAACCTTTCTCTTTTTTCCTTCTGTGGCTTCTCAGTTGTTTCCATTTCTAGGAGGGATGGCCTTTCTATCATAGTCCAGAGCACAATGCCAGTAGGAAAACAAACCAAGAACTTAAGGGAAGCCCTAGGAAGCCTCCTGGTTCTGGAAAGAGAGTCTTGCTCACACTTGAGCAACGAGTCATTTGTTTAGCAAGCATCTTATTGAATGGGTGACATCCTTCACACCTAGCATGTTTCTACTGTATAGTTTTAGGCTCGGGATGAAAGAGGTCTCACCTAAATGTGCTCCTTAGTTTAAGTCCCCACTCCTCCCCAGCTAGAATTGCCAGAGAAGGCAATGTAGGTGGCCATGGTGGAGGTTCTCCCATTGGGTTTTGCTGGCTGTCGGGAGCACAGTGTGGCAATGATGTCACCTATTGGCTCATGCCTTAAGGATTGGACTGGCCCATCTTGTGCCTCTGGTGTCCCCTCCCAGAGCCCTCAGCCTGGGACTCTCTAACCATGGGCCACTTCTAGTCCACACAGGGCTTTTGGGCAAATCTGGAAAGGGAGTCCTGCCTCCAGGTGCACGGAGCCCAGGGACAGGGAGTATGGCTTGGCCAGCAGAGCGTGGGCTGGATTTCAGCCCCTACTTGTTCCCTCTGCCCTCTGCCCCATGCAAGGCTCCCTTGGCCCAGCATTTTTCTGGAACACTCAGTCTCTGAGGGTTGAGGGAATGACAGCCAGAGACTCAGAGATGTAGAAGGCAAGGGCAGGCTTGGGGACTGGCTCACTGGACTCTCAGCAAATCCTTTCTGATGCAGACCTATCAGACAACAATACCAGAAGCTGCCGGGCTTCAAGAGTGGTCCACAAGGGCCGATCGCTCCAGGTGAGGACAAATGGCTTTGGGGGGTGAGGTGGGCAAGGGTGACACAGCGTGGCAATTGATTTGCACCTGCCACTTCTCCACCTGAACTATGGATCTTCAAGGTGACCGTGTGGTTTCTTTCAGAAGAATATAGTTTAAGACTCTTGGATCCAAACAGCAAAAAAAAAAAAAAAAAAAAAAAGTCTTCTCATTATTTTAACTAAAAAGGAAGATCCGTCCTAAGGAGAGAGCAATGTCTCACATGCGAAGGGCGGGACATGGTGCCCTCAGAAATGGTCCGGAGTGTCTTTGGGACTTTTTCTCAGTCTCTAATCTGCTGCTTTCGTGTGTGCTTGCTGCCTCTCTCTCTGCACTGCTCTCTTCTGTTTCATTTTGGCCGTTTCTAGCTCCTGAACTTATGTCTCCCCTGTTCAAGAAACCAGCCAGTCTGAGCACTGGATCTTCCTGCTCCAAGTCTGTGTTAGTGTCTGAGGAAGGGGCTTGGCCCTGCTTGGTCTGCGCACCAGCCCAAGTCCAATCAGGCTTGGGCTGGGGGAAAGGAGCACTTTGAAGGGACACGGTGGCCAGGAGCTACTGGAACTGGGTGGGGCAGATCCCAGGAAAGGGGATCCTGAGTAGAGAACTGAATTCGAGCCACATGAAGTCTCTGTCTGTGGCTCCTTCCAGGATGTCCATTCTCATCATCTGCATACTGATCACAGGCTTGGAGATCATCACTATAATCAGTCATTTGTCCAAAAGAAGGAGAAGTCAAAGGAATAGAAGGGGTAAGTAGCCACTGGGCGGTGGGAATTGGGGAAAATGAAAGGGACCAAGGAGTAGCTTTAAAATGAATGAATGTGACCCTCCTCTTGTTGCCTGGACCCAGGGAGGCCAATACAACCAGCCCATGGGCTGGAGGAGATTCTGCTTCATGGTGACCAAGGCCCCATGAGAGGTGACAGAGAGAGCATGGTGGCCTTGGTAAGTAGGAGTATGTGTAGACTAGGGAGGAGGGAGGCCTTGAGACAACCACACTGTAGATCCCAGTGTGTGGAAGACCACCTGCCTCCCCAGCACACAAACTTTGGGAGATAGACTTACTCTTTGCTTGAAACCTTTTGTTCACCTGGAGGGACTGTCAGAGGACATCTGGGACCCCTGGGTAAGCAGACATAAAAAAGTCTCCTTGAGAAGGGCCAGGCGAGGACAGGCCCATGGGCCTCAGCCCTGGTCTTCAGCCACCAGAGGAAGGGCCTGGTGTGCCTCCTTCTGCCCTTGGGTGACTACAGGTAAAAACCTTGCTAGAAGCCAGAAAACCAGTCAACCTTCTTCTATGATCCCCACACCTCTGGTAAGTTCCCTCCTTGGCTCTTCCTGGGCCCTGGGCTCTACAGTTACCTGATCTTTAGCGATCCCCCTTCCTAAAGAGAATAGGAATTTTGTTCAGCAGGGACTATGTGGATCTGCCCACCTTTCCTTTCTCTCTCTCTCTCTCTTTTTTATTTTTGTTCACCTTTCCTTTAGGGCAGCATCAGAGAAACCAAAATCCTCAAGAGCACCATGGGGTGGTTCTGCTAACCTCTCAAGAGGACACAAGGTAGAAAGAACACCACATACAAGCACCACTGTTTGGCCAGCAGAGCTTATTATGTTTTTCTTTTTATGCTCAGAAGCCACTGAAGTATGCTGGGCAACAGAGAGACTGTAGACATAGTTATGAACAGACTTCCCCCTCCTCTGGGTCTGGAAGTGCTGAAAAACAACGTTTCAGAGAATGAGAGAAAACATGCATGTGCACGCACGCGCACGTACACACACACACACACACCTGGAAGCACCTGCTTCTGAAACACAGGTAGAGCCAGAAGAATCTGGAATTCAAAGCTAAGGCTGTGAGGTTTCATACTCTCCCTGTGATAATTTGGCCCCTTGGCAGAGCAGGAGCCCTAAGAAATCAAAGTCGTGGCTCCCTTTTGTCCGCTAAGAGCTTTGGGAACTGGTGGAGGTGGGGAATGTAGACGAAGCAACATCTTTCTCAGTGCCCAAGACCCCTCCCTTCGAGACACAATCGTACTGTAGGTGTTTGCAAAACCCATTGTCACTTCTTTAAGGCATGATCTTGGGTAACTTTTCACTTCTCTGGGGCTGTTTTCTTCTCTATACATTGAGGACCCCATTCTCATATTCCCCAGGAGTTTTTGTTCATACATTCACTCTTCTTTCAATGCACAAGGACCATGATAGATGCTGGGGATACAAAGACAAGCAAAAGAAATGGCATCTGGCTTCATAGCACTTATAATGTAGAGTGGGAGGGAGACGAACTATCACACAGATGAAAAATTGTCAGCTAGCATAAGTACTCTACAGGAAAGGCATATGGTATCGTGGAAGTTGAGGCAAGGGAATCCAACCCTATTCCTTTTGAGCAAGGAGTTGTGCGACCTCTGTTAGCCGTGGCCTACTTCCTTACACTCAGGCAATTGGAACATGGCAGCTGGAATCAAAGACTCTTCTGGCTTTGACATTCCTGGGCTCTGCAGGGGTCCAGTGGCGTTAAATCACCAAAGCTTGGTGAGAGGTGAATGCAAACCCCATGTACCAAGCTTCCCTACTGACTGACCGATGAGCTTTCAAGTAATGACAGCCGATTTCTGTCCTGAAAACAAGCTGTGGTGTTTAGTCCCCATAAAGCCACCAAGAGAGAGTTTGCAACTTCTACTGCAGAAACACACAGCAGAGGTAGGCAACAGATCTCAACTCAATTTCCTTTTTCTATTCCCCACAAAGTAGACAAGTCACTGAAGCCCTCCTCACGTGTCCTGACTCCACAGAAAATTTATCCTGAACAGATGTGACTGAAGATTTATTTAGTTTATAAATTAAGTGATCCTGCAATAGAGTCGTCATGATTGTGACATCTCAGGTATTCTGCAGGACCCTCCGACTTGCCAGCGATCACTTGCAGCTAGCTGAGAACAGCAGTAGCAAGTGAAGAAGAGGGGCAGAATCTGGGTCAGGGGGCCCGGAGATCACTTGTGTTTTCTTGGTTCGCCAATAAATTCCTGATTGGTGTTGAATGAACCCTCTGGTACGACTAACTTCTCCTGGGATATCCCTGGAGAATGTATTTCCGGAAAAGTTTCAAGTACAATATTGCAATATTTATTTCTGCCTCGGTATTACTTGCTGTCTTACCAAAGCAAGGGATATAAGCCAAACCAGCAGGTCTCAGGTTTTCTGGGTGAAAGGATTGTCCTCTAATGGGACACTGTCCCCAGACTGAATGGATGCCGCTCTGGATCAGTGAGAAACCAAGGTGTGGTGAGTGAAATATTCAGTCAAATACAGAAGCACAAATTGAGACTGAGGGAGGCATCAGCAGTCATGGGTGCAACGGAGGCTGTACTGTCCGTAAATACCAGAACTCCCACCTGCATGTCTGCACCTTCTCAACCCACGTGGAGTCTTCCCTGCTATTTCAGAGAGTTCCCAGGGGCTCCCCATCCCTGCCTCTGCTGCCCTTATAAACCCCTGCTCTTCTGGTGTCTTATAAACAAGGGTCCTGGCCAGTCTCAGGACTCAGGATGCTTGGCGGCCCCGGGGTCAGTGCAGGGCAGGGGCAAGGAGACTGTCTCTTGACACGATTCCGCACCTGCTCTGCACATTTTGGTCTAGGCTCTCACAGCGTCTTTCATGAACACGGTTCCTTCAGTTTCCACCCCAGCCCCTCCATCGGTGGGGACCTCGAAGCTACTCAGCAGCCTGATGGGAAGGGGCGGGGTGAGGGGACCATCCCACTCCTGCCAGCTCCTTGTTTCCTGTGACCAGTCCCCCTGCGTCCCAGAGTCTCAGATTCAAGAACATCAAAAGTGCTGCCTTTTTCCTCAGCCACAAAACAACTCCAGTCCCTCCTCCGTGGCCACGTATTGAAGGACAAACCCACTGGTTCTACAAACAGCAAATCTGGTCTGGGCTCCCTTAGGCCATGCTCCTGTCCAAGGCAAGAAAGCAGGCGTCAATCTTCCACGATACATGAAGACACCTATAGTTGTCATGCAGGGTTTATACTTATGTATCTGGAGAACCGTTTCCCCTGAGAATCCTACAGGTTTGTTCTGATTCCACGAACCAGGGTTCTAGAGCATTTTCTTCTTTCCTTCCCTGGCAAAGACCTTCTAAATCTACAGTCAATTATTTAATTACTCATTTCACCCTCCAGCAAGACTAGGGGCACACCAGTTTTCATGGTAGGGAGACAAAACCCAAAACTCTGTAAGCATAGGTCTCTTGTTAAAAATAGAAAGCTTCAAGGAAACAGAGGGAAGGGCAGTTAATGTGGTATTTCATGTTCAAGAGGGTGGCCCCAGGACGATGCTTACTCATCTCGGAGCCCTTTGAGCAAGCACTAGCTCTCAACTGGAAAGCTGACGTGGCTTCTAGCTTCAAGGTCGGTAGTGTTGTGTGCTGTCAGCCCAGAATCTGGGAACCGGTGAAAGCTAGAGCGGCCTCCCTGAGGCACTTCCCCCAGCCAGCGACAGAAGAGCCTCTGCTGCCCTCCCGGAACAGCCACTCTGCTGTGCTGTGGCCTCTTCACGAGACCACGTCCCCAAACCGTCTTTCTCCTTGGTCTGTTCGCTCCCACACTGGGACCACTCTTCCACCATCTGCTCAAAATCCAGCGGTCAAGAGCTCTCTCAATCAGGTCCCCTGACTTTCCCTTGCAAGTTCTCTGCCACTCTGCCTGCTCTGGGTGGGGCAGCTTGGTGTGCAGGCGAGATGCAGGAGATGGGAAGTCAGAGGACTGGATGGAAGTGTTGCTCTGCCCCCCACGCGCTGGGAGACAGTGGCTACATTATTTGATCTCTTTGAACTTGAATTTCCCTACCTCAGTTTTTAAACATACTACCTGATACACTTGTTAAAAGAGATTTGTAGAGGCTGCTTTTCTCCCCCTCCCGCTCCTTTCGCTATAGACTGAGAGCCCCATGAAGGTAACACTCCTCAGGGACGCCCCCTTGGAGGAGTGACCCATCTGATTTGAGTCCATGGGTCAGACTCTGGGTGAATCTGCTCTGCCCTCCCTCTTCCTTTTTTTAACCTTGTGTGTGCAGCTTTCAAAGTACACATGATCTCTTTTGCAACCCACCCCCCCCCCCCACCCCGGCCCCGGGTGCAGCTGAGCCACGGGTTCGGATGTGGAGAGGGGAGGGGATTCCCGGTTCCCTGCAGCCACATACACACTATGTTCTCCAGTGCCCGCTGTGTGATAAATATGGTACTTTGTTCTCTAGCTGCCGAGTCCTCTTATTTCTCAGACGGTTCAGAATTCAGGTGGGGATAGGAGCACCAGGTATCAGGTCCCCTGAAGATCCTCAACAAGGGAAGTGAAGAACTTCAAAAGTTACACAAGGGCTTTTAAGGGAAAATAACTCCTCCCCTCCCTGCCCCTCAGTCCCTCAGTTATCAAGATCCCCTGCCCAGGGGCACTCACTGAGAGCAGATGATGGTGTTTCCTTTCAGAGACTAAATATGTACAAATACCGGTGCACACGGGCGCGGGCGCGTGTGCGCGCGCGCGCACACACACACACACACACACACTCTCTCTCTCTCTTCTGAACATGAACAGAGCAGTCAGAATTCTGTTCAGCAGCTTGCACCTTACATTTAACTTAGAGATCTTTTCTTCCTAGAACATAGAGCGGCTTCCTTTTTTTTAATGGCTACATTGTACTCCATTAGCTAGTCCCCTCTGGATAGATACTGAGGGTTTTCTTGCTCTTTCACTGTTTTAGAGTTGAACATAGTGGAAAAACGGGCAAACTCTGGAGCCGAGCCCCAGCGCCACTACTTACTAACAATGAGAACTCGGGCACGTTACTCAGCCCTTCTGTGTCTCCAATGGGAATAATAATAATTGTAACCTAGTGTTTTGCGAGGCTTCCACGAACACATGCCAAGCACTTGGAATATACTTAGACTATGATGAGCCTCACTAAGTTTTAGGCAGTTTGGTGAATGCTACAATTTAAACTATACAGGTGATTTTCCACAGGATGTATTTGCAGCTATAGGATTTAAAACATGGTTAGCTTTTGCCAAATTGCCTGCCATTGCAAATTGTATGTGCGTCTTGGTTCCCCGCAGTCCTGCCCAAGCAGTTTGTTAGCAAACTTTTTGAATGTCGCTAATCTCATTGATGGAAAACATCTAATTGGAGTCTTAATTACTATTTCCCTTATTATGAGTAAACTTGAGTATCTCCTCATATATTGAAAAGCCATTTATATTTCCTTTTCTGTGACTAACCCAGACTCATCCTTTGTGCTTTTTTTTTTCTACTGAGTTGCTGATTTTTTTCCCTACTGACTTACAGGAGCTCTGAGTATATTAAGAAAATTAGCCCTTTGGCTATGAGATGCTTTGAAATATTTTCCAGGCTTGGCATTTTGAATGGTATTTTGTAAGTCCAATTAATCAAATTTTCTGGCTTATTGGCTTTGGGTCATACATTCGAGGCGGGGACCACTCTATTTTAAAGTTCTCCCATATACTCTCCTAATGCTTTTACTTTTTAGTTAAATTTTTGATACATCTAGAATTTATTTTGATTTAAGGAGGGAGATGTGGATCTGATCTTATTTTCATCCACATGGCTGCCTACTGTCGAAACACCTTTTATGGATAAACCAATTTCCTCCAAATGACTAGATATGCCATCTTCATCATACTCTCAATTTCCTCATGTATATCTATATCTAGTCTTCTTAGAGAGGGACAAGTCTCACCAATTGGGCCTGGAGGAATGGGAACGTGTTTACTCACGAACCATGAAAACATTTTAATGAGTCATGCTTGATAAAACAGTACTTTTAGTTAGTGTTAGTTATAGGAAGTATTAGTTATAGGAAGGGCTAGGCTTCCTATATTATTTTGCTTCATTTTATACATTTTCTTGGATTTGCTTTCTGGTTTATTGTCTACACAGGGACTTTAGAGAAACCTTACTGAATGAAAAATAATCTTATTGGGGGGCGCCTGGGCGGCTCAGTCTGTTAAGCGTCTGACTTTGGCTCAGGTCATGATCTCGGGGTCCTGGGATGGAGCCCTGCTTTGGGCTCTCTGCTCAGCAGGCGTCTGCTTCTCCCTCTGCCTCTCCCTCTGCTAGTGCTTTCTCTCTCTCTCTCAAATAAATAACATCTTAAAAAAAAATAAAAAGAAAATCTTATTGGTATTTTTACTGGGACTGTCTGCGGGGTCATCCATTAGGATTTGGGGGGGTTAACATTTAAATTTTTAGCTCCCATATAACATCGCTTTGCATATCTTTTATGCTATAGCAAAGAGGTGGACTCGACATTTGAATAGCGCTTAATACAAGAGGAATCTTACATTTGTGTAAAACTCTTGGGACGTACAAAGTACCTCAGGAGATGACATCTCACATATTCTCACACTAAGAGGTAAATGTTATTAGTTCTGTTTTCACGAGGAAGCAGTTACACTTTACCAAAAGACCACAGCTACTTGGTGCCGAGCTTGAGACCTGGGCCCTGATCAATCCTGAGCTTGTTCTGGAGTACTGTCACCTCTGTTAGGCTTCTGGCTGTGGAGGAGCTTCCGATCTCTGGGCATGACAGGACCAGACAAGTAAATGCTGCAGGAGGGGCCAGCATTGCAAGGGCGGTTGCTTTTATTTGTAAATCTTGCTAACTTGCCCCTTTGGCTGACTTCTCCCAAGCTGGTCAGTGGCACTGAGTGAACACTCTTTGTGCTCTGGGCTCTGTACCACACACTTTGGAAGGGGACCAGGTAGGCTGTCTCAGCCCTCAAAGGGCTAGCAGGCTGTCCGTCC